CGTCTGCCGCCAGGCAGGACCATGCGGGAGCTGGCCTCGAGCCGGTCCCACTCCCCCGGCCCCGCAGAAGCTGATGCAAGGGACAGGTGTTACTTCTGCCCCCCAGGACTAAATTCATGCTGCAGCTGATTGCTTTGGGTCACCTTTGCCTGTCCTTGTCAGAAAACGCTACGAGAGTCTTTATGCCAGCTCTTTTGTTATGTGAGGTGCTGTAAGACCTTTTTTCTCTTGACAGAGGTGGGTCATCTCTCCTGGATTTCTGCAGACTTTGTGCCAAGTGTCTGCAGGAACTGTTTTGGAGACTTGTGAGTTGATGTGGGAATGAGGCGTTCAGGGTATTGTTCCCGACAGCAGCTCTGCCCAGCTTCCTATTTGCTGGTACTAGTAAAGACTTCACATTTAAGTTTTGGCCACTTTGGCTCAAAGCAGGGAGTTGGGAATACACGAGTCCCTCTTTTCCGTTTGCTTGTGTTGTTCTTGCCCCTGAGGAGTCCCTTCCCAGACACTCTATTTGGTATGCCAAATATGCGCTAAAGCTCATTTTTCTCTCTTTCTTCTTGTTTTCTATCTCCAATAATTTTCTGCCCTAAGAAACTCGCTACCTTCTGCCCCACACCAAAAGTGATCAGGTGCATGACCAACACCCCTGTGATTGTCCGGGAAGGTGCTACAGTCTATGCCACTGGGACTCACGCGGATGTGGAGGATGGGAAGCTCTTGGAACAACTGATGGCCAGCGTAGGCTTCTGCACCGAGGTGGAAGAGGACCTGATCGATGCTGTAACGGGGCTCAGTGGCAGTGGCCCTGCGTATGTATGTGCTGCTTCCTCAACTTGTGACAGTCTTGGGGAGAGCAGTAGGCTTTGCATGCGGTGAAAGTCTGTGCAATTTCAGTTTGCCATTTCTTGTTTTTCTCATCACACACATTCGTGATGGGATGTGTAATCCAGGTATTCAGTTTATAACCAGTTTGGGTCAACAACAAAAGTCCATTATCTGTTAGATGAGTCTGAAGTCCATAGCCAGCGTGCCGTGTCCACATGTCCATGTTGCAAAACGTGGGCCTGTAGTTAGTAGGACACAGAAGCTGAATTTCTCCCATTCCCCCGACTCCTGAGCTGGAACCAGTGGGAGGGCAGCCTGGCATAGCACCTGTGCAGTAAAGGGGGAGGCTTTTGCCAAGTCTGTAAGCAATAGGAGTCACAGTGTGATCCTGGAGCCCTGAAGTCTCTCCTCCCCGAGACTGTCGGTCTTGGAGCAGAGACTTTCAGTCACCTTCTTCCTCTGTCTGGTCTCAGGCATTCACTGCCCTGGATGCTCTGGCGGATGGGGGAGTGAAAATGGGACTTCCCCGCAGGCTGGCTGTTCGACTTGGAGCACAGGCTTTGCTGGTCAGTATTTCCTCCTCCAGAACACATTTGAGTCTCTGACTGCTCTATGCACAGTATTCTGCACATCATGCTTTGAAATTATCTCAGTCCTCTTACTGAATCTACTTTAAAAAACATGTTTGGTTTTACTGCACACAGGATCCCTGTGAGGGGACATAGGAAGTGTCCGCAGCAATCTGCTGGCGCTCGTGATGGTGTGGGAGCTGGGGCCTGGAGAACCGTGACTTCTCTGTAGGCTTTTTCAGCTCTGAAAAGTGCTTTGGCAGCCTGCTAATGGCTCTCGGGCAGGAGCCCAGTTTTGCCCGCTGTGAGTGTTAGGTGCTGCTCTGTGCAGTGGAGAACAGGAGTATTTGACAGTCAGTTCCTCAGTCAGAGCTCTGGCAGCTGTTTTCTCTTCCTCTCTATAGGGTGCTGCCAAAATGCTGCTAGAATCTGAGCAGCATCCTGGTCAGCTGAAGGACAATGTCTGCTCGCCTGGGGGAGCCACCATCCATGCCCTGCACTTCCTGGAGAGTGGTGGCTTTCGCTCACTGCTAATCAATGCTGTGGAGGCTTCCTGCATCCGGACAAGGTGGGCACCTAGGAAGTCCTAAAGAGCCTGCAAAACTTGTCCCCTCCCCCTCCCTGTCTCTTTCTCTTGCTATGTCTTTCTCTCCCACCACCCCATTGCAGGGAGCTGCAGCATTTGGCAGACCAAGAGAAGATCTCCCCAGCAGCCATAAAGAAGACTTTGTTGGATAAGGTGAAGCTGGAGTCTCCTTCTTTGTCCATGGCATCTGCCAGCAAAGTCAGTCTGTTCACCAGTAAGAGCCCCAGCAGCAAGAAGAACTGACCAGACTGCTGTAGTCTGGCTGTGCTGAACATCAGTCTCCTCCATGCCCTTTCTTTTTTGTTGAAGGAAAAATGGTCACTCTGAATGTTGGTGTCCCCCATACCTGGCTTTTGGCTTGCAGCAGCTCTGGGGCAGTGCAGCACTGTAGAAGAGGGTCTTTAACCTGTGATGGGGTTGGTGCAAACTGTCCCTGGCATTGCTGTTCTCTGTTGGGCAGGAATGATACCATCATCACAGCATCATCAGGGGCATCATTTGTCCAGAAGACTTGGATACTTGTAGGACTCAGGCAATGTTCATGGTGTCCCATGCAGAAATGGTTTCTAAAAGGAATTTTTTGAAGAGGTTTCAGAATGCCTTTTGGTTTCAGAGGTTTGACCCAGGCCTGGATCCTTCTTGCCCCTTCTCGCATCTGCTGTCAGGGCTTGTGTCGTTGCTGTCTTTATCAGCCAGAGCAGATGCTGCCACACAAATGCAATGCTGCGCACTACGTTAGAGGCTGGGCCCTAAAAGCACCTCTCAGAAGGGACCAAAGTGCCTCTGCCCCATCTCCCATCTGCTTTGATTTTGAGAGACAGATGGTGTGAATGTCTGGAACACACTCTGTTTCTCTCTTTGGCGGCTGCCCCTTCTCTCTGCTGTGTCTGTTTTGGGGAACTGTGAACTGCTCTTGCTGAACCTCCTTTGCTGCCAGCCTTGCTTGGGGCTTGGGCAGGTGGAGTGGTAGTGAGTGCTCCCTTTTCCCTCTGTCTCTGACACCCCTTCATGCTCTCCATGGGCATGCCCCTGCCCATGGATATCTTTCGGTATCACTGTGCACCCTGATGTTCTCCTTGCTCTTTGCGCTGCTCCTGGGGCAGCCAGGAACAGAACTGAAGTCAAGGACAACCTCCTCTAGAGAAATCTGCCTTCTGTACCATTCCCTTAGACTCCAGTAGGGTTCTGAGCTACAGTGAAGCAGCAGGACTCTTCCTCGGCACGTTTCCTTGCATCAGGCTGTATACCTCCTTCTTGGACTGCAGTGTTGATGCCTGTTGACAGTGGCTGTGCTGCTTCAGCTTGTGCAATCCAGCTGTGTTGTGGTGGACTGGTCATCCCTTCCAGACAGCATTTCTCCCAGCAGAGCCCCTGTGCTGCTGAAATCAAGCACAGCAGCCTGCAGTGTCACCTTATGTTGGCACAGTTATGTCTCTGGTATTTTATAGACTGTTTCTTTTTTCTTCCTGTTTCTCTGAAGGTGTTGCACTGCTAAGGGCTAGAAGGGGGAACACCTAGAAAAAAAGTTCAGGGTTGCTTCATGCGGTTGCATTCCTAGTTCTTTAGAATACAAGACTAAAGGAAAAATCTTGAGTCATCTAGTCTGGCTTGTGGCTCAGATCTTGTCCCATCTCACCTAGGTTGTCCCGCGTGAGACCCAGGAGGAGAGTTGGTCCCTGCTTAACACAAAAGAGGTTCAGGGAGGACTTGAGAATGCCTCGTGCCTGTCCAAGAACAAGGACTTGCTTGGTGAAAGACATGCAGATGACCGTGCTTTTGCAGAGCAGGAAGACCCTTTCTGTTCTGGTCTGGAGAATTTCCCAAGCCTGACTCAAATTTATGAGCAAGAAATGGCAGCAAAGCATGGGGTCCAGGAGCAGTGGTCCCTTCTGACCCTGAAACTCCAGTATTTGTGAGGGAAGGGATCTGACCGGGGTTGTGGTAGCAGCAAGCAGGGAAGGTGGCCCTGCTCGACCCATCCTGCTGTCTGGCACAGCCCTGAGCACCAGGCCAGGCATGAGCAGGCACTGTGCTGTGTTGAGGGCAATGCGCAGCGTCCTGGGGCCCACTGGGGAAAAGGATGAATGAGGATTGTAGACAAAGGGACCAATGCTCTGATCAGGCAGAAGGTGGATTACTGCCTGTCATCTAGAAGGGACAGTTAACCTTTCCTTCAGGCACAGTCTTGGGAGCCTGTGCCAGAGCAGCAGCAGAGAGAAGATTGTGTCTACTGCTTTCTGTGATTTCTTCATAGCCAATGTCCCTGTGTGGCTTCCTTGCCTCCCTACTTTTCTCCCAAAGCCCAAGTCCTGTCCCAAGCCAGAAAACTGCAGAAAACATGCAAGCTGCCCCTGGGAGGTTTACGGGGCTGCAGTGGGAGGCAACGGGTTGGAGGGGAGGGATGGATTTGGGTGGATAACTCATACTGTATTCTACCTTGGGTTGTACTGGGGGAGTGCTGGTAAAAGGAGGACATTTAAGATGAGCTTACTGTCTCCTGAGGAATCCTGGACACAGAGGTGATGTGAGAAAAGCATTTCTGTATCAATGCAGAGGCTGCCAAAGGTGCTAGTGATGTTAAAGCATTTTTAGTGTTAGGCTTTCGGCTGGTAGCGGGGTATGACTCTATAGGCACGACAGATGGTTACTTCCCTTCCCTTTTTACATAATAAACTGCTTCTCTGACAGAGAGCTGTGGCTAATCCCAGCTGTTTGGACTGTCTGTATCTCTTGCCTCTGGCAGTGGCCATTGGGTCCTTGCTGCCTGCAGTGAGTGTGCTCGAGGTGTGCTGGAAACCTGTCTTTGAGGATGGTTTGTCTGAGCGTGGGACTGGGAAGTGTATCAGCCTCTTTCTCCTTGTCACCCATGGTTCCTGAGCAGCAACACAAAAGTTATTCTAGGGCTCTGTGCTACCAGTTTTCAGAGATTTAGAGAGAAGGGAAGCCTGAGTATCCCGACCCTTTAGGCTTTCCAGTGGTTCTGCCACTGCAGACGAGATTCCATGGGAGGCAAGTGGGTGCCGTGTGCTCCCGTTTCCCTGCTCAGAAGCTGTCAATACCCTGTGCAGACAGGACAAGCTGGAAGTCAGATGGCTTAGGTACTGGCTGATGCGAAGTTAAGGGGAGCGTTGCAGAAAGAGTTTCCATTTGGCTGATAAAGCACGATTCAGAGTAAAAGGTAGGATGGCCGAGCTTGAGCCCCTCCACAGGGAGACTTAAAGACTGCCTCAGCATACCCCTAGAGAGGCAGAGCTATAGATGAACTTCCTAGATGCATATAGACCTGTAACTGAGCTGGCTGCCACAGTAGATGGAAAACCCAGCCTGTCAAGGGCTACAAAAGAGCCCTACAGGACTCAAGTTAAGATCCTCTCTGTGCACAGCAGGGAACAGTGGCGCTGCTGCTGAATGCCCAGGGCCCAGACTATTTCCTCCTAAGGAGCATGCTGTCTCCATGATGTTGCCTTAACTCCTCTATGCCCAGTTTCATTGCTGCACCTTATGCTTGTCCCTCATCCTCCTCTGCTGCAGTTGGCAGTCCTGCTTTGCTTGTAGCACAGCAGTAAATGCTGTAGGCGCCAGTATTCCTGTGTTACAGACCCACAGTTATAGCAGAACAGGTGGAAACACACCTGGAGCAAGCCAGGCATGATCTGGGAGAGCAGCGTTTCACAGCAGAAGAGCCAGCACCACTCTTAACACTTTTCAGCCAGGGCTTGCTTCAGCACTGCCACCAGTGCCTAGGAAAGCTGCTGCGAAGCCCCCTTTAAGTCAGCATTTTCGGTGGAGACCTTGCTGCTCTTCCGTGCAGTTGCAGCAGCTCTAAGAAACTGTGGATGCAGCAAAGAGGAGCAGCTGAGAGGGAGCGTGAGGCCTCCTGGAGGACAGGACACCCGTGCTGCCGGCCACGCCGGGGCTGCAGTGTTCTCCTCTGCACCGGAGCGAAGCGGACGTTCAGCCAAGCAGGACGTGGAACGGGGGGGGAACCCCCGCGGGGAGCAGCACTCCCTGCTCCTGCTGCGTGGCTGCTCCTCACTGTGCACCGCTAACACGCGTGGAAGCC